CCCATAATCACCATGTTTTACGCATGCAATTTGTGCTTTTCGTGTGTGTTGTGCATGAATTTTGTTGTTGTCATGTGATGTGTTCCATGATTTTGTTCACCATCAAGGTCTGAGATTATGTCTTGGATCTTTCCGATCAGTATCTCTGTTGAGGCCGATGAGCCAACTCAATTTTCACAGCCGAAGCAAATGCTATATTAACGGCCTGAAAATACATTTAAAAAACACCCTAAATACAACAATACAACATCTTTTCGGACTCTCTCTCGTGCTTTCAGGCTATAAAAAAGCTATCTTGTAAGCATTCACTTTTAATTGAAATTCTTGAATTATATAACGATCTTGCTACTGGCAAATACGACAATGTCCTCTGTTGGTTACCCAGCCATGTTGAAATCTCTGGTAACGCAATGGCCCTTTCTCCTAAAGCAACAATCAACAAATCTGTGACTCCACTTCTCATTACAAAGCTGTCATTAGATCTTATATCAGTGATCGGATACAAAAGAAGTGGAACACCCAATTAAGTATCAATAGAGTACATGACTGACTGACTGACTGAGTTTGGTTTTACGCCGCTTTTAGCAATATTCCAGCAATATCACGGCGGGTGACACCAGAAATGGGCTAAACACATTGTGCCCAAGTGGGGAATCGAACCCGGGTCTTCGGCGTGACGAGCCAACGCTATAACCACTAGGCTACCCCACCGCCCCCATATAGAGTACATGAAATAAAACTATCGGTTACACCTGTTTGGGCTGTCAGTTAAGATTTGAAGAGGTCATTATGCGAGGATGTCGCATTGGCCATACGCGATATACACACGAATACTTATCAAAAGGTGAGAGAATCACGGTCAAGCATGTCCTGCTTGACTGTATAGATGTTTCAATCACAAGGGTTAAGTACTTCAGTGTCAAAACAATTAAGGACTTTTTTCTACTGTTAAGTTTTATTTAATTATTTATTTTGTAAAAGAAATAGAATTGTTGAATAAATGTTGATATGTTTTGTAAATAGATAAATATTTTATAATTAGTAGTTCAGATAATCAACTGGGGTTGTTCACGTCTGTATCCTCAAAGGGAGTTAAAGTACTGTCAAATTAGTGTCCTCCTGAGAGGGTACGTAAGTCCCAAAACTTTCAAAGTAAATTCAAACTGACTATTATATTAACTGCAGTATAAATGTTATTTTAACTAATGGCTAGATTTTCTACAATCACTAACATCTGGAAGGATGGTGTTAACCCAAAGTAGACTCTATGCAGGTAGCAAAGGCTCTGTAAGTCCCCATGGTCCCTATGTTGATCTACCTTCATTTGTTGGCCAGCTACAGTCGGAAGAATAATGACACTTATTATGGATATATAACTTCTTGTATTCTGTGGAGGCGACGTTTCGACATAGGTTCTAATGACGTTGTCAAGCAAGTGATACATCAGTAACAAATTGAGAGAATATGTACAAGAGTTGTTATTACAGTAGATTGGGAATGAGTTGTTTATACAATAAATGAGGTTGATGTTTAACGCTTGTATAAGAGATTGAGTAAGTTGATAGGAAGCCAGTAGGGTGACATACAAGGACTGAATTAGAGCTTACACAACTGATAGGAAGCCAGGTGGCTAAAATGCCCATCAAAGAAGACAGCTACAGTCTTCTGGTTATATATTTTATCGTCTTCTATAGATCAACGGAGTTAGCTTTATTACTAGTTTTTAATTTCTATCTGTGATAATCACTTGATTTTACTGTCCTTCGTTGAGAGGTGTTTATAATTTACTTTAAATTGTTATATATCTATAATTTAATTTACTCGCTCACTCACTAACTCACTCACTCACCCAAGGGAGTTAAGGTACAGTAAAATTATTGTCCTCCTGAGAGGGTACGTAAGTCCCAAAACTTTCAAAATAAATTTAAACGTACCATATTTTGTACAACTTAGTATTTTTGTGACTTTAAGTTATGGCTAAATTGTCCTACAATCACCATCGTCTGAAGGGATGATGTAAATCCAGCTAGAGTGTATATAGGTAGCGAAGGCACTGTAGGACCCTAGTATGGTGATCTACCTTCAGTTGTTGGTAATCTATAGCCTGTTTTTATATAATGTTGTGTCCACATAGTGCTATTATTTTGTTAACTTTACATGCTAATTTTAATTCTAAATTAATTCTAACTGCGATAATCTATGTTTCACTGTCCTTTGACGACAGGTTTTATAATATACTGAGTCAATAAAGAAACTTCACAAAATGTAATTTGAAAAATAATGAATAATTTTTCTCTGATGATACATCTATGTATCCGAAATGGGATCGCTATCTTTCGACTCTAGAAAAACGTTAGCGAAACCCACTCAAACCCATCCATTCGTCGTGCAAATGACGTTAGTGCCAAATCAGGTTTTGCACGTGCAGTCGATCACGTGATCTTCGCATCGCGGTTTTCTTCATATGCACGTGTTTGCATTGGCCTCAAGAATTGAAAAAAAAACACTTTTAAACCACAGTTCTAACGGTACTTGAAATGCCACGATTGTCAAATGTGCAACGTGAACGTGCCGTTGGCATGTTGCAAGCGGGAAGATCAGTTATTGACGTCGCAAGAGCAATGGGATGCAGCCGTCGTACTGTGTATGACTTGCGAGGTCGTCTACAACAAACTGGCACCACTTCTGATCGCCCAAGGTCGGGTCGTCCACGTGTGACGTCACGAGCAGAAGACCGTCAAATCGTCCTACGTCACCTACGTGACAGATTTCTGCCGGCTACACGAACCAGGGCTGAGATGTTTAGAGGTCGACTGTCCTCACAGACCATTCGAAATCGGTTGCGGGCTTCCAATCTCAATTCTCGACGTCCATATCGTGGATCAATATTGACGCCGTTTCATCAACGTCAACGTCTGCTTTGGGCCCAACGTCACCTCCGATGGACCCAGAGAGACTGGAATCGAGTCGTCTTTAGCGATGAATGCAGGTTTACCGTCAGATTCGCGGACGGCAGGCATAGAGTCTGGAGACGAGGTCGTGAACGGTATGCCCAATGTTGTGTACAGGAAGTCGACAGATTCGGGGGCGGAAGTTGCATGGTGTGGGGAGCTTTCTGTGGGAACAACCCTTCCCGACTTCTGGTCATCTGTGGAAACCTCACAGCTGCTGCTTACCGCGACCAGATGCTCACCCCTGAACTCGTTCTTTTCATGGCGCCTCATGGCGCAGGTCTACAGTTCCAGCATGATAATGCTCGGCCGCATACCGCGATGTTGACACGAAATTTCCTTCAAAACGCTGGAATCAACGTCATGGACTGGCCATCGAGGTCCCCTGACCTTAATCCAATAGAGCACGTTTGGGATGCACTTGGGAGAAGGCTTCGTGGTCTTAGGAACCAACCTTAGAATTTGCAGGAACTCTGCGGTGCCTTGCAAGAGCAATGGTGCAGAATCCCCAACCACGTGTTCACAAGCATCAGGCAGTCGATGAGGAGACGGTGTTTGGCAGTGGTGAATGCGCGGGGTGGCCATACACGATATTGAACTGAGAAATTTCGCATTTTTATTCTTGTGACTCAACATTCTGTATACCCATGTTTTGGAACGGCAGTGTAGCCTAATGGAATTGATTATGGCACTGTCAGTGTATCGAGTACATCACACAGATCTCAGCAATGAAATAATAACAATTTAACCATCTTACCATCTCTTGTTCTTTTATAGTGCCCTGAAGAAAGAATGTGAAGTTTCTTTTTTGACTCAGTATATATCCATATTCTTTATCGACGTCAAATTTGTTCTCGTCACGATATGGCTGACCATTGACGATGTGATGTTAAATATCAACTCACTCGCTGTTCTCAAGAGTCCTGTTTGAGTCCTCCACTGTACTGTTACATTTCGATGTGCGTTCCGTGAACAACATGTATCTGCCGCTGCTGCTTTCACACACATGAAGACCGCCTACGGGGTATAGTAGTTAGAGCGTCCGACCGGAGATCGGAAGGTCGCGGGTTCGATCCCCGACCGCGTCATACAGAAAGACGTTAAAATATGGTACTTGTTGGTCCCTACCTGGCATTACTGGGTACAAGGACTGGTCGGCTCGGAGTCAGTATTATGTGTCTGAGTGGGGTATTCATGCTTCACTGCGGCGTGGTATCTCAGTGGGCTAGCACTATAAAACCAGCTTAAGTCTGGGCTAGTACAAGCAGCCGCACATACACATACACTCGCATGCACGTTGTCATATGAGCGAAATATTCTCAAGCACGACGTGAAACCCAATTTCACCTCACCTCACCTCACCTCACCTCACTAACATGAAGCTGCGACGCGTCCCCTCCACATAGATCTCTGTGCGGTGTTGTCTCAGAACGCCGACCTTTCCATTTTCCACTTGCCTCAGGGGTTTATGCACATGAAGCAGACCTTCCAGCTTTGCGAGAGAAAAATCAGGTCTGCTTCGTGTGCATTTGACCAGTAGTCTTAAGCCAGTTTTAATTATGTTGTTTCTTCTCAGCTAATCCGGATAATCCGGATGATATGCCTGAGTGATCAGCTGGTTAGGTCTATCGGTCTACCTTGCTTAAAGACTGGTACATACAAAATGAAATCAGATATATGTTTTTATACATTTGTTTACATATCAACAACTCTGTACAATTTCGTCATTCTGTAGACGCCGCTTCAGAGCTGAAAGGGTCTCATCCAATCGGACATATTTTCTTCTCTTTGAGGGTGGTTTGCCTCCGGCTGCATATTGTTTCAATCTTGATTCAGTGGACATTTGTATTGACTTTAAGAATGTGATGGCCTCGAAGATGTTGGGATGAGCCTTTCTGACGATTTTGTTCAGGCGACTGTGGTATCCTTCTACGTGGTTGTTGGTCCGTGGCCCGATGGTTGGATTATGATTAAGAGACATGTGTCATTTTGAACACGGTTCAATGTAGTTGTGATACCTGATTGATCAGTATTCACTAAGTTAATTAGTCAATCAAGAAATCTCATCTTTAAGCCACTAAACAAACACCAATCAGTTGCAAGACCAGATCGGTAAACATCAAAGGAAAAACAAGGTGTCTGCTTCATGTGCATAGTTTCAAACCTAAAGGTCTGCTTCGTGTGCAGACACCGCCTCAAGACGCCGACCAGCGGTTTCCTTTAAAGGTTAAGATGGGCCAAGAACCAACAACCACCTGGAAGGGTGGCATTTACGTCTGAAGAGATGCGTCGGCAAGGCTCACCCAAACATCTTCGAGATCATTCCGTTCCTGTTGCGAGAACAGACCATCACGGAAAACAAGCTGAAGCGAAGCGTCCGTCCAAGAAGAAGAAATACAGGGACATCCGTCACCAGCTCAGACAAGGAACACTGTCCGTGAGACAGTCTGCTGATTTAGCATTCCACCTGTTGCATTTGGGTTAAAATCTGTGGATCAATCCCTGTGAAAAAATGTGTGCTATATGTATCATGAATACGCATCGGATATACGATGTATTTATTGAAAATGTCACGTATTTACTTATGTGAATCAATGTACAAAAACGTTAAAATCTGTAAACTGAGTTTGTTGATGAATGTTCAAGTATGGAAATATACCGATACAAATATAAACTGTTGTCGTCTTCTCATTTGGTGTGCTCTCTTTCGCATAATCCGGATTATCCTCTTCAAACAACTCGTTGATCCTTCATTGTCCTCGTAATCCTTTATTAACTGGCAGAATGAAACTAGTCTCAGGACGCCGATAGTCTGGTCGAAAGGTGGGCGTTATGAGCCTGAACACACTGTGTAATCCAGTGAGGTAGGCAAGGGTGTCCAGCAGCCGAGACAGCCCGCAGACCACAGAACATCCTCCTCCTCGGTTTAGAGGTCCCAAAAGTCATACGTCCCAATTGTCAGACAAATCAATCAGGCGTGACTGTGATTACAACCTAGTCTTACACACTGATATAATAAACCTGTCCCATACACTAACGAGATGGTTTTCACGTTTTTACACAAATATATGTTGATCAGAATACTAATGTTGACAGTTAACCTAGATAAAACTCCAATTGTTGTTTTCAGGAGAGGTGAACCCTAAGCGAGAAATAAGAAATGGTTTTATAAAGGTGAACGTGTCTTAACAGTTGATTCATATATATATTTAGGCATTCCGTTTTCATCTTCTTGTAAATTCAATGCATATAAGATTTATCATCTCGGAGTAATAGGGCACTTCTAGAAGTACTACACCACATAAATTAGATAATGTTGACTATTCTGTATTTTTCAAACTATTGATACCCAAATTCAACCAATCCGTGTGTATGGTGCCGAAGTATGGGGTATTAATAAATTTTATAAGATTGAAAATGTACATTTAACTGCATGTAAGAAGTTCTGAAATGTTGGTCCCCAAACACCAAATGTAATTGTTTATGGTGAATGTGGACTTTACCCTATGTATATAAATGCACAACAACCTAATGGAGTTACTTCCTTCCTTACATTGTTTTTCCAACATAAACAGTATATAACAAAGTCATTGTCATTATCCATAATCTCTTCTCTTTGTGTTTGGATAAGTACATTTGGACTAGTCCATTAATTAACGAAGGTAACACTGTAGTGAACCTCAGTGCAACCAGCCATAACCTTTGTTGTTTTAACGCGTCTAACTTTTGGGACGTCTGACGTTTGGGAGGACACCTCCTCCTCTAGTGTGATAACTTGAGCTTGTCTTTTAGTTTTGCACGTCCAACTGTTAGTCTTCATCGTGATCCAGAGTGTTGCGAATCTGACTGAAAGAGTCGTCCGACAGAAGCTTGAACCACTTGTCCAGTGTGTCCGTATACAGCTGGAGACAGATGACTAAACTGTAAAAGATATCCGGGGGATATTCACATATGAAACGTGAAAAGGAATAATTCATTTCATCGCAGGTCCTGTTCTCTATATCCACATGATTGGGCAAATGTTGCGTTGATCTGCAAGTCGATTTCTGTTATGTTGACATTCCTTGAACGTTTTAACAGCCCATTGAATTTTGGTCATTATGCTGTTGGCAAATCTGAAAAAGATTGAAAACTCAATACACGCTTTCAGTTCTATTTAACATCAGGCTTTGTACAACGATTAATTAACTTAGTTAAAATCATTAAGATATAGTTTCTCCCTCGTGTTCTCAGTTCTGCTATATTCTATTGTTGAACTCGTGAATTCAAAATGCTAATCAAAGTTCAGTGTATACACAGGAAAACTGTAACAGAAAGACGGAAGGATGGTCATTTTGCTCTCCTACCAACTCATTTGCGTCACAGTTCACCTTGAATAAATTGTTGAATGAAAAAGATATATACGTTAACATGTGTATGCCTACGTAGTATACTGAGTCAATAAAGAAACTTCACAAAATGTAATTTGAAAAATAATGAATAAGTTTTCGCTGATGATACATCTATGTATCCGAAATAGGATCCCTATCTTTCGACTCTAGAAAAACGTTAGCAAACCCCACTCAAACCCATCCATTCGTCGTGCAAATGACGTTAGTGCCAAATCAGGTTTTGCACGTGCAGTCGATCACGTGATCTTCGCATCGAAGTTTTCTTCATATGCACGTGTTTGCATTGTCCTCAAGAATTGAAAAAACTCTTTTAAACCACAGTTCTAACGGTACTTGAAATGCCACGATTGTCAAATGTGCAACGTGAACGTGCCGTTGGCATGTTGCAAGCGGGAAGATCAGTTATTGACGTCGCAAGAGCAATGGGATGCAGCCGTCGTACTGTGTATGACTTGCGAGGCCGTCTACAACAAACTGGCACCACTTCTGATCGCCCAAGGTCGGGTCGTCCACGTGTGACGTCACGAGCAGAAGACCGTCAAATCGTTCTACGTCACCTACGTGACAGATTTCTGCCGGCTACACGAACCAGGGCTGAGATGTTTAGAGGTCGACTGTCCTCACAGACCCTTCGAAATCGGTTGTGGTCTGCCACTCTCCATTCTCGACGTCCATATCGTGGGCCAATATTGACGCCGTTTCATCAACGTCAACGTCTGCTGTGGGCCCAACGTCACCTCCGATGGACCCAGAGAGACTGGAATCGAGTCGTCTTTAGCGATGAATGCAAGTTTACCCTCAGATTCGCAGACGGCAGGCATAGAGTCTGGAGACGAGGTCGTGAACGGTATGCCCAATGTTGTGTACAGGAAGTCGACAGATGCGGGGGCGGAAGTTGCATGGTGTGGGGTGATTTCTGTGGGAACAACCGTTCCCGACTTCTGGTCATCTGTGGAAACCTCACAGCTGCTGCTTACCGCGACCAGATGCTAACCCCTGAACTCGTTCTTTTCATGGCGCCTCATGGCGCAGGTCTACAGTTCCAGCATGATAATGCTCGGCCGCATACCGCGATGTTGACACGAAATTTCCTTCAAAACGCTGGAATCAACGTCATGGACTGGCCATCGAGGTCCCCTGACCTTAATCCAATAGAGCACGTTTGGGATGCACTTGGGAGAAGGCTTCGTGGTCTTAGGAACCAACCGCAGAATTTGCAGGAACTTGGCGCTGCCTTGCAAGAGCAATGGCGCAGAATCCCCAACCACGTGTTCACAAGCATCAGGCAGTCGATGAGGAGACGGTGTTTGGCAGTGGTGAATGCGCGGGGCGGCCATACACGATATTGAATTGAGAAATTTCGCATTTTTATTCTTGTGACTTAACATTCTGTATACCAATGTTTTGGAACGGCGGTGTAGCCTAATGGAACTGATTATGGCACTGTCAGTGTATCGAGTACATCACACAGATCTCAGCAATGAAATAATAACAATTTAACCATCTTACCATCTCCTGTTCTTTTATAGTGCCCTGAAGAAGGAATGTGAAGTTTCTTTTTTGACTCAGTATTATATACAACTGAAATTTGGTAAATGTGAGATTGTCTATTCGTTTGATTACTAAAGGGAACGTCTCACGTTAAGAATTTAACATACTCATCTTTTGGCACGAGATTTTCATTCACATGACTTGAAATCTAAAAATGAAAAAAATATGACAGTTAAATACGGAACTTTTCTTTTTTTTTATCTAACTCATACCTTCTGCGACCGAGAGATGAATTTTCTGTATCCTGAATCTCGGGATTGTAGGCTTCGGTATTGTTTTTTCGATTTGTTTTTCGACTATCTCGCATGGAGATATGAGTTCGGCGTCGCATATATCGCCCGCGAAGTCCAGTTTACTTGGCCATTTTGGTGTTGGACTTCTTGCTCCAAGCGATTCTCCAGTTGCTGGCATGTTGAAACTAATTCACAATATTTTATATACTTCAAAATAGGGTCTCGTATTTGAAGAGGTCTCAACAGTGTCGGTGATTGTGAGAGCCATGTAAGTATTCTGCGTTATGGAGAGGCCTTCTTACGACATGTCGAAGGGGAAAGAAAAATTTCGAAGATCGCCTGATGTACAAATCCACGTGTTAGGCGGACCCAACATGGCAAGGGGGGTTTTTTGGTTATTTTAAGTAATTTTTCCAAGAGTGAAATATTATTATAGTTCTGACAGAGCTCCAGATAAGATTAGCTCATGTGGGTACTGTACCCACTGTATTTTTTGGGAGTGGGTATTATGAATGTTGAGTGGGTATTTCATTTTCCGTTACCCACTGCTTTCACATATGTGCGTATTTCAGTCACTTTACTCACCTAAGTATTACGTCATTGAGTAAGTTTACTAAGCAGGTATGTTCTGCCTTATGTCATACCAAATCAAAACCAACTTAAATATAATGGAAATTATTTCATAAAAAAAAACCACTCATCCTATATTGACATTACAACACTTGTCCTATACTAACAGTACAACTTGATAGCAATCGATTTTTTTCATTACGCAAGCGATTTTTATAAATATATTCCGTACGCATTTGTTTTAAACTTTTTTGCGTATCTAACATTTTAAATGCGTAATTCGTACGCAACAATTATTTTTCAATGCGTAATTCTATGCGTATTTTACCCGGATACGCAGCTTATCTGGGCCTCTGAGTTCTGTATTTGATTGATAACCTAGTTTTCAAAAACATCCTGCATGTCTCGAAAAAGTAGCCGTACCCTAATAATGGAGTGCTTT